ACATATATTAGAAATAAAATGCAAATGTTAAAATAAAAAAAACCTAATCAGATGACTCAGTAAAAGAAATGGACCCAACACTAGACTAAATTAATGAGTTGAGGAGCTCACCAAGAATGTAGTGGAAAGGAAAATGAAAAAGAAATGAGAGTTCAGTTAAGAAATATGGAGGACAGATCCAGAGCTGTACTCATTCATCTACTAGAGAAGTCCAGAATGCAAGCAAATAGAATTAAAGGTGAGGAAACAAAGAAATAGAAGACAATGTTGCAAAACTCAAGACTCCAGTCTTCAGACTTTATAAAAGGTCTTCCCCAAGTATCAAATTCTTTCTCAGGTCTTTTCTGAGAGAATGACTCTAGGATATAGTTCTGCATAATAACAACATCCAACAAAGGACAGGACATGGGACACATTCAATGGTGCAAGAAAAAAACCAGTAGAACTTAAAAAAACTGTTCCTATATTATGTAAAATAATTACAGTCTAGAATTTAAATTCCAGATAACCTCTACCCAGGTGGTGGTCACTGGCTGGTGGTGGGGGAATAATTACAGGGCTCTCTCAGAGCCCTAAAGCCGCCTGCTCTTGCAGGAACGGGAATCACGAAGCTGTCAGCTGAAGCCATGCTCACATCCTCTCAGTACTTAATGATCTTCTTTTCCATCTGACCTTCTATGCTTTAGCTTGCATATTGATGGATGTAATACTGCCCCAGCCCCTGAATCCACACAACTTTCAGCTAACTCAGGGGTTTTTAATGCCAGCTGAACATAAGAATCACTGGAGAGCCTTTAAAATACCATGATGATAAGGTCCCATACCAGACCAATTAAATCAGCATCTCTCGGGGCAGGGCCCAGGCTGCTGCTTCTTTTTTAAGCTTCTCAGGTGAATTCTAAAGTATAGTTAGTGCTGAGAGTCATACAAGAACTGTTTCAGGCTCTCAGAACCCAATTTAAAACTTGTAGGAGAGGCCTCTAATTAGCCCTGTTCATCTTCGCATGTCAAATTACAGGTTCATTTGTATATGGGTTGCCCTTAAGCGCTAGACTGTTAAATAACTGCATTAAAGCATGATTATGTGTATAATAAAAACATGGGTAGGGTGGAGTCCAAGAAGAGGTGGACTATGGGGTGAATGTGCCAGAAGAAGACTTCATAGAGCAGACAGGCTGGGTTCTGAAAGAGTAAGAATATGACAGGTCAGTGGGATCAGGTAAGTACCCATGAGGCAAATGCAGAGGAGAACTATTTAAGTGGGTCACCCTCCCAAGCCCCGATGCTCACATGGCCAAAAAGGAAGGGGATGACAACTATCTTGGAGGGACTTATAATTTGGTGGAAGTCACAGTGCAAAGATTCAAGAAATATTGAATTTGCAAGAATATAGGAGGATTCATTGGTTCCACTCTGGAGGAACTGTGGAAGATGGGTGGTGTCAGTGAGTGAGCATAATAAAAAAATGTTGGGAGGGGTCAGAAAAGATTTTGAGATTTTAATTTTTCTGTGGTTAACATCAGAGAGGGCAATTTCCTTTTGAAACCTATATTTCTGTGGAAAGACGATACCTCCTTGTGAATGGGAGAAAGTGTAATCACATTTCCAGCATTCCATATTGCTGGCATTGCATCATTTAGGACAGAGCGCCAATGAGCTAAGATGGGCATACTCTGAAAAATAAAACAGAGAGTGAATTCCTGGCCTAGTGGATGGTGTGGCTTTGGAGTTGAGGTAATTAATACCCTTCTTTCATTCACTGACAAGTTTCTGAAGCCTATCCATATGGAAATATAGTAAAGCTATAATTCAAACAGATTCAAGAGAGATAAAGGAACACCTAAAAATAAAAAAAAATAACAATAGATTAAATGCTCATGAAGAAAATATAGGAAAAAACTGACACATCTGCTTGGTGAAAAATACCATAAATGGGGTTAAAAGATGGTCCTAAACTTCATTAAGAAAAAGGTGAAAAGCCCAGTAGAAATATAAGCAAAGGATACAAACAGATAATTCAAAACAAGAACTATAAGGTATAAGAGATTAGTAAACATCACTTATAAATAAATACAAATTAAAACAAGGTACCAATGACACCTGCCTGATTGGCAAAATTAAAAATAATGAAAAATAGTTAATGGTAGTAAGAGAAAGAGGCAGAAATAGTAAGAGAAATTACATTCCTGTTGTAGAAGTGTAAATTCATGCAACTGTTCTGAGGGGCTATTTGATAGTGTTTTTGCATTTTGATATAGCAATTTTAGGATAAAAATTATCTCAGAGGTATCACAGAAAAATGCAAAGACACTGGCAATAAAAATTAAGGACAATCTGGGCTTCCCTGGTGGCACAGTGGTTAAGAATCCGCCTGCCAATGCAGGAGACATGGATTCGAGCCCTGGTCCGGGAAGATCCCACATGCCTTAAATCTGTGGTTTTTTCGATATTGAGCTGCATGAGCTGTTTGTATATTTTGGAGATTAATTCTTTGTCAGTTGCTTCGCTTGCAAATATTTTCTCCCATTCTGAGGGTTGTCTTTTCGTCTTGTTTATGGTTTCCTTTGCTGTGCAAACCTTTTAAGTTTCATTAGGTACCGTTTGTTTATTTGTTTTTAATTTCCATTTCTCTAGGAGATGGCTCAAAAAGGACACTGGGTACTGGTAATACCCTAGGGGGAAAAAAACTCTTGTCCTGGGTAGTGGTTACATGAGTATGTTCAATTTGTGATAATTCACTGAGCTAGACATTAATGATTTCTAAGTGTTTCTGTAATTTTATATTATACTTCATATATATTTTATATTATACTTCAATATATTTTTTTTAAAGAGAGAAGACAGATCCCATATAAGGAGTGGTTATTATAATGGCACTAACCTTCTCAATATTAATACTAGAAACAAGAAGAAACAGCAAAATGCTTTCTCAATACTTTTTTTTTTGGCCATGGTGCGCAGCATGCGGAACTTCCTCGAACAGGGCTTGGACCCATGCCCCCTGAACTGGAAGAGTGGAATCTTAACCACTGGCCCATCAGGGAAGTCTGCGCCTTCCAAATTTTAATGGAAGATGTTTCTAACCTAGAATTCTGTATTCGAATTTTCAATCAAATGTGAGGGTAAAATTAAAACATTTCCAGACAGGGAAGGTCATAGAAAAGTTACCTCCACACGTACCTTTTTTCAGAAACTTCCTGCAGAATGTGCCCCAATATAAGGAGGAAATAAACAGGGAGACAAAGACATGGGATCGAGGAGACAGAGACTTTAATATAAGAGGAAGACAAAAGAAATTCCCAAGATGACAGCCTGTTGTGTCGCAGGCCTCAAAAACAACTAGTGCACTTGGGAGCAGCAGGCTAGGGTTCTAGGGCAGAAATCTCCAAGAGAAACTAAAACCAGGAGAGTACTTGCTTGTGTTTGACCATACTGAGAGATTGTTCAGTTCTGTCAGAGTACAGGGGTATATCAGGAGTAGCTACATAGAAAAGCAAACAATAAAAATCCCCAAATATGGCAAATATTACATTTAGGATAAGCAAAGAGTGATTCCCCATCCAAAAAATGGGGAAGTATAATTATAGTTCAACTCAGCTGCAAACAGGAGTTTTTATGATTATAACAACATAAATAGGGACTCCTGATTTAGCCAAATATTGTGATGTAACTATACTACATGAGTGGGAGGAAGGGGAAGTTGTATGTGTTTATAGTGTGTGGGGGGGTCCTGGCAGAGGTAACATAAGATAATAAATCCTTCTACAGTAGGACATCAAAAGATAACTGAATTGAAAAACCAAGAAAGAGTGTAAGCCACTGACATGGATGCCTCTAAAGGTTGAACATACTCAAAATCCATTAGGCAGAGCAAAACGTTAGGAAATTATGTTAATTAGGGTAAAACCTAGTGGGATTTGTCAGAAGATTGGGCAAAGAGTGGGTAAATTGAATAAGTTTACCCTATCTGTTCCAGCCATGAAAGAAAGTTATATTGTACCCAACTGCATAATTCCTTGTCTAATGTTGAAAATACTTTATGGTAATAATGACTGTGATATTAAGTGGTGAAATAGAAAGGAATGCAATGCTTTAGATTAAAAAAAAATCAGCATTGGATTTTGAAATATATTGAATATCCATTTTTGCATTTATCTAAATTAAATAAGTTTTCTCCTTTGGAAAAAAAAAGTATAAGCATGGAGAAGTAAAAAACAATTAAAATAATTTAAATGTGGACAATGAAGATGGGAAGGTGTGGGGCAGGATGCTGTCACTTTCTCTTTGCACTGTAGTACTTTTTCAATTATGTGTAATAGTATTTTCTTAAAAATAAAATTAAACTGAAAAAAACCCTATAAAAACAAAAGAACCTCAGGGCCTAACAAATCACTTTTAGCTTTAAAACTCTAGATAATGACCTGAAACATCTTGTGAACAAGAAGAAGCATATATGTAGCACACACCAGTAATCATTATTATTTTTTTTGCGGTACGCGGGCCTCTCACTGTTGTGGCCTCTCCCGTTGCGGAGCACAGGCTCCAGACGCACAGGCTCAGCAGCCATGGCTCACGGGACTAGCCGCTCCGCGGCATGTGGGATCTTCCCGGACCGGGGCATGAACCCGTGTCCCCTGCATCGGCAGGCAGACTCTCAACCACTGTGCCACCAGGGAAGCCCCAGTAATCATTATTAATTACATGTCATTTCAACCCCAAATCCTCCCCATATGAAGAGCTAAACTACCTACATTTAGTATAGGGTACATGAAAAGCTGCCTCAAAAAGCCAGAACATACAAACCAAATGTCTTCATTTTATCAGATTAGATTGAATTCACAGTATTGTAACTGACATGTAACTTTTCAGGAATACATATAAAGTTAGTTTGATCAGTTGTGCAAACATAGGATTATTCATTTATCTTTTATGGGTTGATAATTAATGAAATTAAGTGCCTGAATCAAAAGAACAGATACAGTTTGTATAAGTGAAATTACCTGAAGAAGGTCACGAAGAACTGTACCAGGTCCATAAAATTGCTGTGCTGGGAGAAGGCAATCTGTGACAGAAAAACACGTAGAGTGATTGGGTTATAAGAGAGCACCATTAACTCAGCCTTCTCGTTGAAGCAGAAAGACGTTAACATTTCAAGAAGAGATTAATGAAATTTTTCACTTGAGGAAAAGCACCTTATCCCTTTAGTTTTTCTTGCTTAATTGCCACACAAAAGTGATATTCTGAGACTCAACACAAACCCCTACAGTCCCCCTGCTCTTGACAGCAGATCTCAGTTTTTAATCTGACCTCGAAGACTTCTCAGACTCCTGCTAATGACCCCAATGACAAGCAAGTCAGGTTACTTCCTACCTCCTTGTGCCCTTTTCAAGACAAAATACTCTCCTTGTTTGCTTCAAATTCCAATTCTTGGATCTACCGTCAGGTGGGCAGCTTCCTTTTATGCCGTTCATCCCTTTGTCACTTAATGTACTCACTTCAAGATAACATCCTTTTTAAAAAAAAACCTTATCCCAAGCTTCACTACACTGAGTATCATCTGACAATCAATATAACACCAATTTGAACTTAAATAATTTTATACCAAGAATATTATAAAATTCCTAATGTAGTTCATCAAATCTAAGACACCACTAAAACAGGCATTATTTTGTGTACTATTAAGAAAACACTGCCAGTTACACTATGACACATTGCTTTTAAAATCACTGTAAGATGTATCATGATTTCAGAGATATTAGAGCATGAAAAAATGTACACCTTAGAATTTATTAGTAAGTATGATAATTGTGTCCTTACTACCCTATGACACACATGGTACTAGCCAGATGTTATGGTGTGTTCTCTGCTTATTTTTAAGGGACCACAGCCCTCCTTGGAGAGATAATGGTACTATAAATGAAACAATTATTGAATAAGATGGTAATTATTGAAATGAAGGCAGTCAGTATGACAACAGTCACATAAGTAAATGATTAGCGTCTTCTTTTCCTAATCCCACCCTACCTGCCCCCCCCCCAACCTACTCCTGTCAACTCCCATCCTACAGCAATACAAGGAAAGTGCTACAGCCTAGGCCCCAGCACAGTAACAATCCAGTGCTTTGCACTTCTTTTATAGTCAGACTCAACAGAGGCAGAAGAGAGGAGAAGCTTCCACTGCTTTTCTTTTGAATGCTCTTATTTTCTTTTTGACATTAAATAAAGGTCCAATATTACCTTTTCAGGCCATAGAATATTATGGGGCATAGAATCTAAAGTTTTTGTATCCTCCCTCTAGCCACCATTTATAATCAGAAATACAAAGATACATAGATTTGATATCATAGACAAGGAGAAACCATATTCTTTGCTTTCCTTCATTTATTACAGTAATCATCCTAAATAAGAAGGCTCCTTGAGAGAAGGAAAACTGCAGAATATAGCTACAGTCCTCTCATAAAGGTTTTTAATAAAACTGGGGAAAAACAATTATATAAACGAGGTTACTCAGTCTTGAGGAAAGAAGAATCCAGGTTACAAGACATAAAGAAGGAGAAGGAAACAGATTTTAGTGCATCCAATTCTGTTTAGATTTTAAACTTTTAAAACATTAGTATGGGAGGAATCGGGAAGATGGCGGAAGAGTAAGACGCGGAGATCACCTTCCTCCCCACAGATACACCAGAAATACATCTACACGTGGAACAACTCCTACAGAACACCTACTGAACGCTGGCAGAAGACCTCAGACCTCCCAAAAGGCAAGAAACTCCCCACGTACCTGGGTAGGGCAAAAGAAAAAAGAATAAAGAGAGACAAAAGAATAGGGACGGGACCTGCACCAGTGGGCAGGAGCTGTGACGGAGGAAAGGTTTCCACACACCAGGAAGCCCCTTCGCGGGCGGAGACTGCGGGTGGTGGAGGGGGAAGCTTCGGAGCCGAGGAGAAGAGCACAGCAACAGGGTTGCGCAAGGCAAAGCAGAGAGATTCCCAAACAGAGGATCGGTGCCGACCGTCACTCACTAGCCCAAGAGGCTTGTCTGCTCACCGGCTGGGGCGGGTGGGGACTGGGAGCTGAGGCTCCGGCTTCGGTCGGAGCGCAGGGAGAGGACTGGGGTTGGCGGCAGGAACACAGCCTGCAGGGGGTTAGTGCACCACTGGCTAGCCGGGAGGGAGTCGGGAAAAAGTCTGAACCTGCCGAAGAGGCAAGAAACTTTTTCTTCCCTCTTTGTTTCCTAGAGCGTGAGGAGAGGGGATTAAGAGCGCTGCTTAAAGGAGCTCCAGAGACGGGTGCGAGCTGCAGCTAACAACGCGGACCCCAGAGACGGGTATGAGACGCTAAGGCCGCGGCTGCCGCCACCAAGAAGCCTGTGTGCGAGCACAGGTCACTATCCACACCTCCCTTCCGGGGTGCCTGTGCAGCCCGCCACTGCTAGGGTCCCGGGATTCAGGGACAACTTCCCCGGGAGAACGCACGGCGCGCCTCAGGATGGTGCAACGTCCCGTCGGCCTCTGCCGACACAGGCTCGCCCCGCATCCACACCCCTCCCTCCCCCAGCCTGAGTGAGCCAGAGTCCCCGAATCAGCTGCTCCTTTAATCCCGTCGTGTCTGAGCGAAGAACAGATGCCCTCCGGGGACCTACACGCAGAGGCGGGGCCAAATCCAAAGCTGAGCCCCCGGAGCTGTGCGAACAAAGAAGAAAAAGGGAAATCTCTCCCAGCAGCCTCAGAAAGCAGCGGATTAAACCTCCACAATCAACTTGATGTACCCTGCATTTGTGGAATACATGAATAGACAATGAATCATCCCAAATTTAGGAGGTGGACTTTGAGAGCAAGATTTATTATTGTTTTCCCCTTTTCCTCTTTTTGTGAGTGTGTATGTGTATGCTTCTGTGGGAGATTTTGTATAGCTTTGCTTTCACCATTTGTCCTAGGGGTCTATCCGTCCGTTTTTTTCTTTTTTAAAAAAATTTTTCTTAATAATTATTTTTTATTTTAATAACTTTTTTATTTTATCTTATTTTATCCTCTTTCTTTTCCCTCCCCCCCCTCCCTCCCTCCCTCCCTCCCTTCCTTCCTTCTTTTTCTCCCTTTTATTCTGAGCCGAGTGGATAAAAGGCTCTTGGTGCTGCAGCCAGGAGTCAGTGCTGTGCCTCTGAGGTGGGAGAACTGGTCCACAAGAGACCTCCCAGCTCCACATAATATCAAATGGCGAAAATCTTCCAGAGATCTCCATCTCAACACCAACACCCAGCTTCACTCAAGGAGCAGCAAACTACAGTGCTGGACACCCTATGCCAAACAACTAGCAAGACAGGAATAAAAACCCACCCATTAGCAGAGAGGCTGCCTAAAATCATAATAAGTCCACAGACACCCCCAAAACACACCACCAGATGTGGACCTGCCCACCAGAAAGACAAGATCCAGCCTCATCCACCAGAACACAGGCACTAGTCACCTCCACCAGGAAGCCTACACAACCCACTGAACCAACTTTAGCCACTGGGGACAGACACCAAAAACAACGGGAACTACGAACCTGCAGCCTGCAAAAAGGAGACCCCAAACACAGTAAGATAAGCAAAATGAGAAGACAGAAAAACACACAGCAGATGAAGGAACAAGAAAAAAACCCACCAGACCTAACAAATGAAGAGGAAATAGGCAGTCTACCTGAAAAAGAATTTAGAATAATGATAGTAAAGATGATCCAAAATCTTGAAATAGAATGGAGAAAATTCAAGAAACATTTAACAAGGACCTAGAAGAACTAAAGATGAAACAAGCAACGATGAACAACACAATAAATGAAATTAAAAATACTCTAGAAGGGATCAATAGCAGAATAACTGAGGCAGAAGAACGGATAAGTGACCTGGAAGATAAAATAGTGGAAATAACTACTGCAGAGCACAATAAAGAAAAAAGAATGAAAAGAACTGAGGACAGTCTCAGAGACCTCTGGGACAACATTAAACGCACCAACATTCGAATTATAGGGGTTCCCGAAGAAGAGAAAAAGAAAGGGACTGAGAAAATATTTGAAGAGATTATAGTTGAAAACTTCCCTAATATGGGAAAGGAAAAAGTTAATCAAGTCCAGGAAGCACAGAGAGTCCCATACAGGATAAATCCAAGGAGAAACACGCCAAGACACATACTAATCAAACTTGCAAAAATTAAATGCAAAGAAAACATATTAAAAGCAGCAAGGGAAAAACAACAAATAACACACAAGGGAATCCCCATAAGGTTAACAGCTGATCTTTCAGCAGAAACTCTGCAAGCCAGAAGGGACTGTCAGGACATATTCAAAGAGATGAAGGAGAAAAACCTACAACCAAGATTACTCTACCCAGCAAGGATCTCATTCAGATTTGATGGAGAAATTAAAACCTTTACAGACAAGCAAAAGCTGAGACAGTTCAGCACCACCAAACCAGCTTTACAACAAATGCTAAAGGATCTTCTCTAGGCAAGAAACACAAGAGAAGGGAAAGACCTACAATAACAAACCCAAAACAATTAAGAAAATGGGAATAGGAACATACATATCAATAATTACCTTAAATGTAAATGGATTAAATGCTCCCACCAAAAGACACAGACTGGCTGAATGGATACAAAAACAAGACCCATATATATGCTGTCTACAAGAGACCCACTTCAGACCTAGGGACACATACAGACTGAAAGTGAGGGCATGGAAAAAGATATTCCATGCAAATGGAAACCAAAAGAAAGCTGGAGTAGCAGTTCTCATATCAGACAAAACAGACTTTAAAATAAAGACTATTACAAGAGACAAAGAAGGCCACTACATAATGATCAAGGGATCGATCCAAGGAGAAGATATAACAATTGTAAATATTTATGCACCCAACACAGGAGCACCTCAATACATAAGGCAAATACTAACAGCCATAAAAGGGGAAATCGACAGTAATACATTCATAGTAGGGGACTTTAACACCACACTTTCACCAATGGACAGATCATCCAAAATGAAAATAAATAAGGAAACACAAGTTTTAAATGATACATTAAACAAGGTGGA